GATCAGGGGCGGTGTGTATCAAATTCCCGTTCGGGTAAGTGTTCCCGGACAGGTCTAATCCAGTCAAACGCGGGCGATCCACGCCTGTGCGCGAGCGTGGGCAATGATCGTGCAAGAGCCTTTTCGGGCCGAATGCGATATCTGCAAAGTCACCTACCCCATCTCGTAGACAATAGATAGTATAAAATAGCGCGTCTCTTCGATTAGGTTCCCGAAAACGTTAATAAATCAAAAAGGCAATTCAGTAGTTGACGGGCAGGACTTAATAATTGTAATGTTGCAGAAGATTTGTCTGATTTGAGATTTGATTTGATTGGTTATGAGATTTGCGTTTCCAGAGCCCGATCTCTCCTGTCCAAATTCTGAATCTCTTGTAAATTTCGAGGTTAATTCAAACCAAATCTCAAATCATACAAATCTTTTGCAACATAACAGTTATCAAGTCCTACTCGTTAACTATTAAATGCTTTTTTTCGATTTACTAACGTTTTATGCCAACTAATCGAAGAGGCGCGCTATTCCACACAATTCATGGTCAACGAGAACGGCTAGGTGCCCAGGCGTGGGAGACCTATCGAATTCGGCCTGAACGGGCTGCACGACCAGGCGCCTAGCGCTCGTGCACTGTGGGCGCGGAACTCCCGCTTCTGACTAGATTACACCTGTATGGAAACACCTACTCGAAAGGGAGATTAATACATACCGCTCCAGAGGAAGAATGTCTTTTTTTGCAGACAGCCTGTAGCTGTTGCTTTATGCGCTTTTGCTCCTAAAGCATCCTTGTCGCTTTTGGATTCGCTGATAACTGCTCGACAACGATCAATCGGTGACCGGCCTTTTAAATCCATGGATGAGGTAAGTCTGGTGAATCTAGCTTTGGTGCCCTTGCATGTATCTATCTCTCGTTTTGTTCGGAGTTACAGTGCATGCAATCATACTGTTTCTTTACAGCTATCAGCTTATGGAAAATCTACCACGGGTGCATTAACCTGTCTGCAAGCTGAATCATTGGCGAGAGAATGTGC